TTTTTTTTTTTTTTTTTTCCTTTTTTTGGTGTTCTAGTTTTCGTAATCACCAAGGCTCTGTCTGCGTCTGAAATCAATAATTGCGTCTGCAAACAAACACGATTCGCGATTTGCACAAGTGTTTTATTTATTTATATTTACTGTTGTTAAATAATTAAAATGTCTATGCCTACGGGCGTGTATGACTACGATTGCATGCATCCGTGTGTCGACTCGTGAAGATGATCTGTCGGTTTCATACCAGCAACCACTGCCATGGACACGATCGAGTGTTCCTTTTCTTTTCTTTTCTTTTTCTCTTTTTTTCTTTTTTTTTGTCTTTTTTTTTTTTTCCTTTTTTTTCTTTTTTTTCCTTCTTTTTTCCTTCTTTTTCCTTCTTTTTCCTTCTTTTTCCTTCTTTTTCCTTCTTTTCAACCAGCAACCACTACCAGGGGCGAGGTCCCATTAGCAGTCAGATAGTGTGGCCTATCCAGTGTGACACCGAGTGGCAGCGGGCTGACAGGTTCATTACGAATTTCTGGGCTGAGAAAACAGGAGAAAGGCAAAAAAAAAATAATAATAATTATAAAAAAAAAACAGAGACCTCCCACCAGAAATCACGGCAGAGTGCTTCCCAGCCATCAGATCAGATCAGATCACAAATGATCTGATGGTGGTGGTTGCAACAACAGTGAACAAAGTGCCACTTTTTTTTTCTCGAATAAAAACTGGACTTCTGTCAGCAGTGATGATCATGACGCCCTTCATATACTCCCGTGATTGAAGGAGGGCTTCACCCACCCAATGAGATAATTATTGCACAACAGCAAGTAACATACTGAAAATCTTCTATCCAGTGGGCCTATGGCCGACCGCAACCCCACCCTCTTTTGGGGTTGGCCAGACCCCCAACCGATTGAAAAGATTCTGGCGGGAAAAGATTATGGCGGGAAGCTTTCTTTGCACGGGCATGCCCAGTGAGTGTAAAGGAGAGGAGGAGGGGAACAAAGATGTCCTTACCTTGTCGGGTAATACATAATATTATAAAATGCTGACCGTGGGATCACGAGTACTGCACGGCAGGATTTGGGTCACTCAACTGCCGCACAAACTCGTTTCTATCCTATCCCGTTGCTAGTGGGACCTCGCCCCAGAGTGGCCCGGGTCCACTTGCCCGTTCGGGCCAAAAAGAAATAAAAAAATAAAAAAAATAAAGATTATTTTTTAATTTAAAATTTTGACGTAAATTTGGTAAAGAATTTCGATGTGACCCTGAGGCAAAAGTTGTTGTTGTTCAGTTTATTTTTCCGCATACCACAGTTTTTTTCCAGATTTTTTCGATTTTTCGATTTTTTGTTTTTTTGGGCCGGGACCTTCCGTGGTCCTTGCACGGTCGGGCCGCCCAGGAAAATAGGGTGTGACCCGGGCGTCCCGGCTGGTAGCCAAATTTTTTTCCTTCTTTTTTTGTGTGTGTTTTGTTTTTCGATGATTTCCATGAAGAGGGAGGGTTGTCAAAAAAGAGAAAGGAAAAAAATAAAGAAAGAAAAAAGATCAAGCAGGGAGGTGTGTCGCGCCATCGATATCATTGAGTGTTCCATTTCCTTTTTTTTTTTTTTCTTCCTTTTTTTTTTTTTTTTTTTTGCTCGAAATTACTACTTCATTAACAGGGCCCAGTGCCCAAGGCAATTACATCAGCAACAACGTCTCTCCAATAACAGGAAATCGGAGACCCGTCCTCGCACACACAATCTCCGTTTTCATCACGGCTTTGTGTTTATCGTTTCTTTTTTTTTTCTTTTTTTCTTTTTTTTCTCTTTTTTTTCTTTTTTTTAATAACTACGCTACATTTCCTTCGTTGTTTTTCTTTTTTTTTTTCGACAAATTAAACAGTCAGCTTTCTGTTACTCGATACCTGAATGCACGACTATTGTTCTTCTTTTTTTTTACTTTTTTTTTTTTTGGTGTACATGTATTGTGAATGAATGTATGTTGTGACCTCAGCTTGTGAGTGACCTCTGCTTGTAAATTTCCCGCATTACCGAACTTGTGCTTCTTTTTTGTTAGAAAAACGGATCATATCATTGATAGCCCGGGAACGGGCATCCCTCACATGGGGCGCGGTCCCACTAGGTAGCAAAGAGGATTGGTTTGAACACCTTAATTTGGCCGCCTTTGTGGACAAGTGCAGAGAATCGAGATTGAACTCCTTTTCTGCATCTCTGCCAAAAACACGCCCAGATTCAGGATCTTAATCCAAACCCCGTTGCTAGTGGGACCATGCTCATGGACATCGCAGCCAAGCGAGGCTGGACAAGACACGACAAAGGAAGGGGATTCTTTCTGCTTTCTTTTTTTTTTTTTTTTGAATTGGATGGCAATGGCCTTGAAATATCATCATTCAACTCACCAGCCTCATGAGCTTTTTTTTTTTTTTCCCCCTTATCTGACTCTTCCCAGCATCCGAACTCAGGTCGGTTTATCAATAATTGATAGATGTGTGACCCTCAGCTGTACCATTCCCTCACATCCGCTGGGTTCTTTCTGCATTTATTTAAAAAAAAAAAAAAAGTTCAAAAATCGATGAGGCATTGATAGATGTGTGACCCTCAGCTGTACCATTCAATCACATGCGCTGGGTTCTTTCTGCATTCATTTATTAAAAAAAAAGTTCAAAAATCGATGGCCTCAGGTGTACCATTCCCTCACATGCGCTGGGTTCTTTCTGCATTTATTTAAAATAAATAAATAAATAAAAAGTTCAAAAATTGATGGCCTCAGGTGTACCATTCCCTCACATGCGCTGGGTTCTTTGACTGTTTCTGCATTTATTTAAAAAATAAAATAAAAAAAGTTCAAAAATCGATGGCCTCAGGTGTACCTTTTCCTCGCATGCGCTGGGTTCATTCAACATTTCTGCATTTGGACGTGAATCGCGATTGGCCATCGATTTTTGAACTTTTTATTATTATTATTTTCGAGATGAACCGAATCCAACGATCCAAACGCGACGAAGAAAACTCTAAAAACCCAAAATCCAAATTACAAATACTAAATACTCTAAAAATGCTAAATCCTGAAAATCCAAAATCCAAGGGGAAAAATAAAAAATAAAAATAAAAAAATCCAAGGCAAGCAAGTGAGACGTCACCGCCGGAGTTCACACCTCTCACTTCTTCCACTCTCCGTTTGAGTATCGCTGTCCACGTCATCAACGATGAATCTCACGCTGAAGTACAGACAGATTCATTGATGATGATGACGTGGACAATGCCCTAGACTACCTACTGCGCTTCCATCATCGATGAATCTCACGTTGAAGTACAGCCAGATTCATTGATGATGACGTGGTCAATGCGATGGCCTACATACTGCGCTTCCATTCTTGTCATTCACGATGCTGTCACGCACTGAGGTACAGCCAGATTCGTCATCAAAGCCCTTGGCCTACTTACTGCGCTTCTATTTCTGTCATTGTTAAATAATGCTTTCCACGTCATCATCGGTGAATCTCACGCTTAAGTACAGCCAGATTCATTGACAATGATGTGGTTAATCCTCATCAGCCTCATAATCACTATCACTGTAATGTCGCCGTCCACGTCATTATCGTGGTCATTATCATCATAATCATAATCATCCACGTCATCATGATCCACGTCAGCATTATCTTTATCTTCAACATCACCATCCACGTCGGCAATATCATCGCCAGCAGGACCATCAGTTACTACAGTCTTCCCCCGAATACAACGTACGGTCATTATAGCTGAATTTGGGGTATCTTTCAGTCTAAATACAGCTGTAATGACCGTACGTTGTATTCGCAGGAAGAAGGTAGCTGACTGACACGTCATCATTATCCCTTTAATTTTTACATCTAAACACTGTACGTTCTTTTCTTTCCTTCGCGCAGACAGACACCGCACACAGAGAGGGAGAGAGAGAGAGAGAGAGAGAGAGAGAGAGAGAGAGAGAGAATGAAGCATGCACGTGAGGTGGGTGGTGAGTGTTGCTTGTGTCGTTCACGACTGCACAACGACACGCTCGGAAGGAGCTGCCGCGCAACTTATCCATTTTATCTTATACCTAAAACGGACACGTGGCATGCACCTTATCCATCTTGTGTTACCTAAATAATGGACACGTGGCATGCAACTTATCCATTTTACCTTCCCTAAGTAATGGACACGTGGCATGCAACCTAATCCATTTTATCTTAGACCTAAACCGGACACGTGGCATGCAACTTATCCATCTTATCTTACCTAAATAACGGACATCCCGGTTTATCTTCTTCACCTCAAAAGAGGCTTCGCGCCATGAGAAACCGGAAGACAATGTAAACGCTCGGTAAAGATAAAACACACAGACGCACCGTGAGCAACCGCATGGCCCAAAAAACACAAGAAAAACCATTGGAACAAGGAACAGAAAAGCGGAAAGCGGGGGCGGGAGGGGGGGGGAGGGGGCGGGGAAGGGGGCTCGAGGGGAAAACAGTTGAGCAGAGGAACATCCTACGTGGGTACAGTCGGCCTTTTTCCGAATAGAACGCGGGGCATGGCCCACGCGTGCACATGGTTGTCGTGTTCACCAGACTTCCATGGAACCCATGCGTTCAGTTCCAAAGAACTGGAAAGCCATTACTATTTATACTTATGTTCTGAATGAATGACGGATCACTACCCATGGCCCTCGAATCCGCTCCTCACCAAATGTGTTCAAAATGAGTGTTCAAAATGAGAATGAATCTTCCGCAAGAACATGGAACAGTACACCGCCATATTGGTCGTCCTTTGTGCACGTCGACAGTACAGTAGTGCATGCAGCGAGGCCCTATACACGAGCCGAAGGGGCTCGCCCCACTACTGACCAAACCTAATGAGAGGCCTCGCTCCACTAACTACTCTAGACTCGAGACTCTAGAGTATTCTACAATTTTCATGACTGATGCCTCGCTCCACTTAGAGGCTCGTCACACAGACAGCATTCTGAAATTCAGAAAAAAATCGAAAGTCGGTGGTCCACAGTTTCCCCCCCCCCCCTCCCCCTCCTTAGCCACAGGCTGTCCAGGGGTTTTGGTCATGGCCAAATGGAATGGACTCCGCCTTTCGACAGGAGGGCAAAGTTTTTGGTCATGGGCAAATGGAATGGACTCCGCCTTTAGACAGGGCGGGTGTCACAGAACAGTCCCTGACAATTCGCAGCCAAAGGCTGCGTCTTACCCCGTTGCACTTTGTCGTGTAGCGGGGCGTCCTTTTTATGGAAGTGTCAACGAGTCCTAACGGGGTTTATGGGGAGTCTACAAGGTGCACGGTCGGGGGCAGGGCACAGACCGGTAGCCGAAACGGTTGCTCAGAGGTTGGAGCGCGGGCGACCAAGGGCAGGTTGCATAGGTCGTTGTTTGGCCGTGGTGGGCGTCGCCCGGCCTTTCCTTTTTTGGGGTGGACGGGTTTTTTTTTTTTTTTGGGCCTTCGTTTTTGAAGGGGAGGGGGGCAAGGGGTTGGGGTTGTTTTGGGGCAGGCGGGGTCTAGTAAGTGACAAGTGACGGAAGGGATGGCCAAACGCCCTCGCTCCACCACTGTGCAAAATGTGATGTGAATGAATGCATCTTCCCGCTAAAACATGGAAGTATACACCGCCATAGTTTTTGTCTTTTGTGCATGTGTTGAGTAGTGCCGCGAGGCCCAAAGGTAAGGTTCAGGGCATAGCCTCACCATTCTCGAAATTTGCGAAATGGGAATGAACTTCTCGCTAGAACATGGCCAGATGCACTCGCCACATTTTTTGTCTTTCTTTCACATTTCGAGAGTGGTGTTGTGACGAACCACTTTCGAAAATCGCGCAACTTTCTGCGCGAGGCTATTTGGGGGAATGCACAAGCGGTTATCGGGTAGCTGAAAATTCAGGAATGAAAATTTTGAAGTGAGAGTTTTGGGCAGTCTGAAAATCCTGAATGGTCCTGAAGTGGTGAAAGGTCCGAAGACCCTGAAAACCACTTGTTTAGGCAGACTGCATCCTGAAGTGGTGAAGGGTGTCTTGAAGTGGTCAAGTGAGAGTTTTTGGCAGTCCGAAAATCCTGAATGGTCCTGAAGTGGTGAAAGGTCCGAGACCATGAAAACCACCCTTCACCACTTGAGGATGCAGCCTGCCTAAACAGATGATTTTCAGGGTCTTTGGAGCTTTCACCACTTCAGAACCATTCAGGATTTTCAGACCTCAATGGTCCTGAAGTGGTGAAAGGTCCGAAGACCCTGAAAACCACCTGTTTAGGCAGGCTGCATCCTGAAGTAGTGATGAAAAATACGATTTTTTTTAACCTTCTCTCGGGGAATGCGACAGGTCGAAAGGGTGAGCTGTGGAAAGATGGGTCGGGCAGGCGAGTTGCATGGATGTCATCGTTTCTTTTCGTTCTCTGTTGGACGTTGTCGGATCGGTGTCAGGAAAGTCTCGTGCCAACGGTTGGGTGGTCGCGCCATGACGGGCGCGAGAAATAACTGTACCATAGCTTATTTTTTGTTCTGCTGTGAGCACTGGGGATTTTTGGCGCGATCATCGCGCGGGAATATCGTTTTTTAATTTCAACTGATGGGCTCGCGGAATTGTTTTTTTTTTCTGCCTTTTCGGAATTTCTCTTTGCAATTAGGACTTAGGATAAAAATTTAGGTACTCTGAGTTTTGTTGCGCCACCCTGCACGCATCTTGCTGCGCTAGGAACTGGACTCTGACTGGATCGCGCCCTTAATCTTGTGCAACTGTCGTTTTTGGCGGGCGCGGTTGTAACTGTATCTTTCTTATTTTTTTGTTTCCTCGTGTTTGCCCACCTCTTTCTTCTTCTTCCTCGCCTCGCATACTTTGTGCTAATTGGTCGAAGCACCTGCATGACCGGATCGATGCGTGGAATGTGGCTACGACCCCCACGCCGCGGTCTGGCCATGCAGATGTAGACACTTCCTCTTTTCTCCTTTTATCCAACTGGGCTTAATCCCGTACCTTTTGCGCAGACGTGCATGCTATAAATTTCGTGAGCGCGATTAACTTACTCTCAACTAATTATGAGGTTAGCATGATCAGTGAGGGTCGGCTAACGAGCAAGTTGAAAGGTGAGTGAGTGTGAGAGTTGGGCGATCCGACGAGCTGGTGTCGGTCATGCGGGGTTGACGTGCGAGGCCACGACGAACTGTGGCGCACGGGCGAACCTGGCTTGCATGCTCGAACCAAGCGGGGTGACAACTCTGTGTTGATGTGCGGCGACGGACTGCCCGCATCAGGAGCGTGGAGAGAGGGAGAGAAAGAGAGAGGGAGAGAGAGAGAGAAAGAGAGAGAGAGAGAGAGAGAGAGAGAGAGAGAGAGAGAGAGAGAGAGAGAGAGAGAGAGAGAGAGAANNGAGAGAGAGAGAGAGAGAGAGAGAGAGAGAGAGAGAGAGAGAACAGTTGTGTGGGTGTGGGATAAGGTTCTTTTCGTTGTTCCTTTCTTTTCCTCTGTTCATCTGTGTAATTTTCGATCTGGATATGGTCGATTTTATCGCGGCATTCTCTTTGGACTTCTTTTGTAAATTGTCTCGGATTTTCCTCGTCGTTTGTATTTTGTATGTATGCATGGAATGAATGTGAGTCCCTTTTATTAGCGATTCTTTTAAATTTTCAATCTTGTTTTGCGATGTCCGTTTCGACTCTATCTACTGCTCATTTACGTGGGCCATATGCTCGATTATGGATGTTTTGGTTTAGTCGTTAACTTTCGATCAACACGAGTGCTATAAGAAATTGACGATCCTTTCTCTTCTTCTTCCTCCCCCCCCCCATTTTTGTCACACGTATGATATGTGATGATCGGATCTCACCCGACGCCGCAGGGATAGGATATCTGCATGCATGTTGAATGTGATCGACCCTCTAAACCACCCCGTTGTTTCTCACATGCATGCTCGCGTACGACCGCGACCTCGAGGAAACCGAGTCGCTACGTACGCGCTCGTCCGCGTGAGTCAGCCTGGAACTCTGTATGAGGATGCAGGGGACCAAGCTTTCTAAATGGATATGGCTGCGGAATTTCCCGCTTGGATGTCCGATCGTGAGAGTCTGCGGGACCCGGAACACCGCAAATACTGAGAAGGTAAACAACTCAGACGGTGGGGGAACTTAAGAAACCCGGAATTCCCCTGTCCGACAGAAAGCGATCGATTGTGTGCGAGGGACTTTCACTGTGCCATAATTAACGATCCTCGGGGTCCCGATTACCCGGATACTTACAACACGCAGTATTTCATATCCTCCAGTTTCGTCGTTATTAGTACCAGTTTTCCTCCCTTTCACCTCCTCCTTTCATATTACCAACTCACGGTGGTGCCGTGGAATTCCATACCCGCTATTGGCCCCGCAGACCATGCGAAAAGTGTCGGCGGCACCACGCCTATCGGGCCTCGGAATTCGCTCGGCAAGCCCGAACCGAAGCCGAGGGCCGCCGCCAACTGATCAAACCGCACAACCGGCCACGAAGGCAAAACCAGAGGAAGTGGTGATTCTCATTTCTTTCAGGCTTGAAAGTTGAATTCGTTGGCAGGGGCAATGTTGTTGGGATATTGTTCGAGAATGTAAGAGTGCTTAGATCTATCGGTACGATGATCGTGGAAAAGTGCCCCGGATCTTTAACCTGAGATGCACTGCGCATGCCATCTGCCTTATGCTGCACGACATCAACAATTTTCCTTTTGAGCACACCCTCTTTGTGCCTATACCCCCGCAACTTGCCACATGAGATCTCAGCTCCGACGTGGGACTCTACCCCCACTTTCCTAAAATCCTTGGCACACCCCTTTTCGCACTTCCAAGCCTCCATCCCACTCCGATCAGGAAGTCGGGCTGCGCGTGAGGTTGGTATCGGAGCCGTGACGTGGCAGGCTTCCGGATTAATACAAAGGGTAACCCGCGCAGAGCGATCTGACACACAGAGGACGACCAAGACAGCGGAACGCGCCATGACGTGATCCCGTGGTAATAAGGAGTAGATCGGCTAGACGACGAGCAACCCCTATGAATGCTCAACCAGCTGTGAACCAAACCCAAAATGAGAACCCGACGCCTAACCCGGCTCCGCGGCCTCGAGCACTCATGGCTCCACCAGATCTATACCTTTTTGATTCAGCACATCATTTAGCCGAAGCGTGGTTTAGCTACCTTACGAGCACAACACTACGACAACGACAAAGCTCGGATCAACATCTCCGACAGATTAGAAGGGGACGCGCACCATTGGTTTAACACTTACGTTTGGGTAGACCTCCCCACTTTTGAACGGGATTTTTTGAACCGATTCGACTACATTCATATGGAGCA